ACCACATCTGTAATTGTGTTGTGTTGTATCAGGGCTGGTTTTTCCACGGAGCTCGACACTAAGCGCTCAAAACCCAGTTCCAGCAGTAATTTTTTTCCCTAGACTTTCGCGAAAAAATAAATACAGTTTACAAGCTTGCTCAGGGTCAGTCAGGTATGTAGTAACTATTGACCACAAGATACGGAAGCCTTGAGCGGCAAGAGAGGAGGGGAAAAAAAAAAAAAAAAAAAAAAGGCAGGTCATTTGGGCTTTTTTTTTTTTTTTTTTTACACCAACAACTTAAAAAATTAAAAAAAATAAAATAAAATAAAATATACAAATAATACAAATAGAAATACTAATAATACTAATAATACTACTACTACTAATAATAATAATAAAGTGTTGAAACCAGCCTTTTCATGAGTTTTACTTTTACATTCTCTTTTATGTTCTCTTTCGCTTTTAGGCTCTAGAGCCGTAATATATATTTTGCTATAACTCGATATATGATATATATCTCGATATCTGTACAGGAAAAAAAAAAAAAAAAAATAAAATAAAAAACTACTGCAAAAACAAATAAGCCAAATTTGGGGGGAATAAAAAGAAAAAAAAAAAAAGTGCAAAAAGGTTGGCAGTTCATGCAGAAACAAAGTACTACTGTGACATAAATAAATAAATAAATAAATAAAATTAATATACTAAAATAATAATTAAACTGTAATAAAGGAAGAAGTAATTGCCTTTTTTTTTTGTTCACTGAAAAATAAAACAACTCAACTCAAGCTCATCTTTGCATTAACTCTGTCAACTGTACGATATCCATAACCATGAGCTCCCAGACTAAGCTCGGGAAGTTCCATATTTTAATAGATCCATGTTCCTAACAGCAGTAATGAGATGTGAGGCATCCCACAAGCCACTGCGCAGATCAAACCAAACATTTCCAAATACTATTAAATACTATTGTACAAGTAATACACTGTAGCAGATTATTCATTAAAATCTTCAGCATAAATAAACGTTACATTACTAAACTTTACAACATATAAACCATAACTTTTAGAGAGCCACATCAGCCCGTTTGAGATGATAATGCGTTTAATGCAGCTTTGAACACATTTGTTTACATTTTACAGAAACGAAACTTAACACCACATGGCTCATTTGCATAAACTATAAGGGCAGGAGCACACACAGAAAAGGCAAACAAGCGAAGCGACGAAATCAGAATTAAATATAAGCATTATATCAATATGCACGATATGTCAGAATCCACCCCCCCAATCAGTTACCATGTAGTTGATTAGTCTTAGTTAGAAATTTTCAAAAAGTGGGAAAACTGAATGGCACTTTTGGGACATCATGTTGTGTTGTAGTTTTATTGTCAAACACCTACACTTACTATAAAAAGTGCTCCTCCATGTTTTTGAAGCCCATGCATGCACCATCACTGACTGCATTCTCTAAAATTGATCACTCTGTAAGGAACCATGTTATTGGTTAAATAATTTCAGAGAACATTAAGGTAGAATGACCTGAAGCTACAGCATCAGGTGAAAAAAGTCAGAAGTACTAGGTTAAATCCCCTCCCTCTGAGTAGAACTTGCAGCTCAGGGCATAATACCAACTTTTGAAACCAGCACTTTCAGACTGAAAAATGACTCCTGCGTGGCAGTTCTGAAAAGTCACAATTTCTCTCATGTAAGTACAGTTGCTTTCTGTCAAATAAGTACAGTTGCTTTTTTTTTTTTTTTCCCAGACAGTGACAGTGTCTAGATTTGAAACAGTACCACCACCACAAGAAAGCTTTCAAACTGCATATTGTTGAAATTGTCAGCATTGTTTTAGCCTCATTCACACTGCCTCACTACTCACGGTGAGATCTACTTGTTAGGATCAAGGCTGAATATTTTCTCACAGACAGTATTTTATGTAGAATATTTAAAAATGCAATAAAACATGACACAGGTTATAAAAGATAGCATGTTGAAAAAGTGTCTTCAGCACTGGCGCTCTTTGTGTGTGCTGACATTCAGATGAGTGGGTGGGGATGTGTCCATGTGTCTGTAGCCTCAGGAGAAACACATGTTCATATGATGAGTTGACCTTTGCAGCACCATGCAAATGAGAGCTGGGCTTCTACGGCTCTACTGCTAAAGAGCCACAGCCTGGACTCACGTTAACTCATGGAGTTAACATGAAGCTCCATAGAGTTACAAGGAGAAATGCAGAATTTGTTTGAGTTTGTCATCACCTATTTTTTTATTTTATTTTTTTCCTTAAAATTTATATATTTTCATTACATTAGAATTAAAAGTGTTTTCAGGTGGAGGGTACAATCTAGTTGTCTCCATGGAGATATTATTGCTTTATGTAATGTCTCAGTATGGCATGAAACATTCATATCCATGGAGAAAAGCAGGTGCTCCCAGGAAAATCAACACCAACACCACCACCAACAACAATCAACGACCAACACACAACAACAACAAACAACAACAACAACACACAACCAACAACAACAACAAACAACAACCAACAACACCAACAACCACAACCAACAACAACAACAATCAACAACAACTACCAACAACACCAACAACAACAATCAACAACAACCACCAACAACACAACAAAAACATTCAACAACAACCAACAGCAATACCAACATCAACAACCAACAACAACAACAACAATAACACCAACAACCACAACAACACAACAACAACCAACAACAACAACAACAACAAACAATATCAACAACAACAACAACAACAACAACAACAACAACAACAACACCAACAACACCAACAAAAACATCCAACAACAACCAACAACAACAACAACAAACAACCAACAACAACAAAACCACAAACAACACAAACATCCAACAACAAACAACACAACAACAACAACCAACAACAACACACAACAACAACACCAACAACATTAACAACAACAACCAACAACAACACATAGATAGTTTGCAAGGTTTACAAAACTTTATAAACCACTAAGTTATTAAAGCCCGAGTTAAGTCTTTTTTTTTTTTGCATTTTAAATGTGCATTTTGGGCTTACAATAACCACATTAGTTAGCACGTAGCTGGTTAACCTTCACAGTGTCTTAGAACTCTTAATATTTGAATTTTTCGAAATGTCTATGGGAAAATGAATGAAAAATTTACTCCTGAAAACTGGAACGGACTTCAAAGTGGGCAGGACTATGGAGTTCCATAAGGCGGGGTATGTGTATGTGTGTTGTTGTTTTGTTTTTTTTTGTTTTTTTTTTCCATCTGTGAATGAATGAATTCCTGGCAAAAACAGCTGTACTCTAAAAAAACGTCCCTAGTGCCCCTTTGGAATTGCATTAATACACAATTACTTTTCAACTGTATTATTTTCATCTGTTCCCCTGTACAATAACATGTCGTCAAGAGTATTTTCCTGAGTGTAGCTGTATCCTCACCCGCCTTCTGCCCCGGTATTGAACTGCACTGATCCATGTCAGCTGTGATTTCCCATGCGTGTGTGTGGAACATGGCACCACTCGCGCACACATAACCCCCAGCCTTATATAAGCAACAACACACAACAACAGCAAACGCACAACAATATACCCATGCATAACCTTATTACATTTCATCAAGACTCAACTGGGCCATAATGATGAACATATAGCACAGAGTCAAGGGTTATGTTTACAAGGCTATTAAACGGATCACGTCTCCCACACTGTCACTGCAAAACCCACCGAGACTCACACAAAACCTGATTGATCCACAACGACTATTATTTGAACAAAAATATAAATGGTAATAATACATGAAAATAATGACATAAGGGTGAGTTGTTATTCAGTCGTAGGGAGTATTATCTGTTACATAAAGATGATTTGTTGTACAGTTGTAGGGAGCATTATCTGTTACATAAGGGTGAGTTGTTGTACAGTTGTAGGGAGTATTATCTCTTACATAAGGGTGAGTTATTGTACAATTGTAAGGAGTATTATATATTACATAAGGGTGAGTTGTTGTACAGTTGTAGGGATTATTATCTGTTACATAAAAGTGAGTTGTTGTATAGTTGTAGGGAGTATTATCTATTACTTAAGGGTGAGTTGTTGTACAGTTGTAGGGATTATTATCTGTTACATAAGCGTGAGTTGTACATTTGTAGGGAGTATTATCTATTTGATAAGGGTGAGCTGTTGTACAGTTGTAGGGATTATTATCTTCTACATAAGGGTGACTTGTTGTTCAGTTGTAGGGAGTATTATCTGTTACATTAGGATGAGTTGTTGTACAGCTGTAGGGAGTATTATCTATCACATAAGGATGAGTTGTGCAGTTGTAGGGAGTATTATCTGTTACATAAGCGTGATTTGTACATTTGTAGGGATTATTATCTTTATATAAGTGTGACTTGTACAGTTGTAGGGAGCATTATCTGTTACATTAGGGTGAGTTGCTGTACAGCTGTAGGGAGTATTATTTATCACATAAGGGTGAGATGTTGTACAGTTGTAGGGAGTATTACTGTATCTATTACATCATGGTGAGTTGTTGTACATTTTGTTGTGCATGTTGTACATTTGTAGGGAATATTATCTTTTGCATAAAGCTGAGTTGTACAGTTGTAGGGAGTATTAACTATTACATAAGGATGAGTTGTAGGGAGTATTATCTATTACATAAAGGTGAGTTGTTGTATAGTTGTAGGGAGTATTATTTAATACATAAGGGTGAGTTCCTGTACAAATGTAAAGAGTATTTTATATTCTATAAGGGTGAGTTCCTGTACAGTTGTAGGGAGTATTATTTAATACATAAGGGTGAGTTCCTGTACAAATGTAAAGAGTATTTTATATTCTATAAGGGTGAGTTGTAGGTTGTAGGGAGTATTACCTGTCCACGATGGAGAGCAAATGTCTCCAGCTCAGATTTAGGACATAGGATCAGTTTGCTTTGAACAGAACAAAGTAGGACTAAATTGCGCTTTCTGTTTTGATTTCAGGCCTGTAACTGCCACGCCACCCTCTATAAACCACAATGTCATATGGCTCCATAGACGGAAACTCCTTTGGCGGACGCAACCCCTTCGGAGGCCCAGCCAGACAAGGCTACCAACCAGTCGGTAAGAAATGATTATTGATTTTTTCTTCTTTTATTGTTTTGCGGTGTTCTGACTTTGGGTTGTCCTTATTTTCAAATGACCGCTTTCATTTTTCAAGAGGGGCCACATTAAATTTAAGAGTTGAGAATAATTGGCACGAACAAAGCGCGCCTCGATGATTTCCTCCATTTTGTTTCATTTTTGTTCCTCGTAAAAGCAAAAAAAAAAAACAGAATTGTAGCTTCTCAAACTGCAATTATTGGTGAATGACAAATGTTCTTTTTGTACTAATGGCGGTGGTGTGGTGTGTATCTTTGGAATGACTTCCTTCCGAGTACAATCCCAGGAGAAAAATTTGGTGCACAATTGGGTCAAGAAGAACGCAGGTGATTGTTTCGAAGCACACGGGGATTTTTCGAAAATGACGTGACGCATTTTTCTAATCGTTGTTTTTACATGACTCAAGGTACTCCAAAGTCCAAACAAAAAAGAAACTTCTTGGTTGTTTACTTCTAGGTTCCCACTCTTAACAGATTTTCTTCTTGGGAAACTGACAAACTCCAACATCATTTAGAAATTTGGTAAAAAGATAATGCTTCTAAACTCTTTATACACCAACAACTTTTAAATCCAATAGCTCTGTCAATAAGTCTCCCTAATTACACTACCCTACAAATAATACTCAGGTACAACAACTCACAACTAATGTACAGATAATACCTTTACGTTGAAAATCACTTAGTACTCAGAACTACTTTTAGTACATTCAACGTAGATAAATACTCCCTACAGTACTGTTAACTTTAACTCCCTCTCACCTTGTTTATAATAGATAGATAATACTCCTACAAGTATGTACACAACAACTCACTCTTTAATGTTACAGAGTAAATCCCTACAACTTCCTACACAACTAACTCCTTAAGTACATTAGATAATCTTCCTCTACACAGTGTACCAATAATACTACTCCTACCTTGTAACAGATAATACTCCCTACAACTAGCACCTACAACTATACACATGATATACTCCCTAAACTGTACACAAGCAACCCTACAAATCAGGTATCTTACTGCAATGTATACTCCCTACTGCAGGTAACAGATAAACTCCCTCAACCTATAACACAATTATGTAATACAATCTACAACAACTACCCTTATTCATTATGAACAGATAATAATCTAATACTCCAATGTATGAACTGAATACAACCCCTCAATATGTAATAGGATAAGTTACCCTACAAATGTCAACAATCCCTATGTAACAGCTACTTTTATTACTGTCCCTACAAATGTACAATACAGACTTACAACAGTTAGGTTTTGTAAGGAAAGCATAACCCAAAGTAAACAATTAACACTAGAATATGTACATACAGTAAACAATTACTTTTATTGTTGTAATTTAGTTGGACATGTCAGTAGGAAAGCACACCCAAGGTAGTAGGTGTATCGTAAAGTGAATAAATAATTAAGTTATAGAATCAACGTCTGAACTAGGGGAACATCAATGAGTAAAAGTTGTATTGTAGTAGCTTCACCAGGTGTTACACTTGTTTAGTCTGGAGTAGAACAGTTAGGTAAAGTTTAGGAAGTAGTATAATATAAATAAGGAGCATTAAAATAAATTAACATTTGTTAATAGTTTACATTGTAGTAGTTTTGTATGAGATGTGTGTTTAGGAAAGTTGTCTTGTAACTTTTCAGTAGAGGATCAAGTAAAAGTAAAGTCAGTAGGAGCATTTGCTTTAAGTAGTCTTTAGTAGTAGTTGCATTTATTTAGTAGTGAAAGTAAACAGCAGTAGTAGTTAGCAGTTAGTAGTAGAGCAGCAAAGTAGATTAGAGTAGTAAGTAGTAGTAGTAGTAGTAGTATAGTAGTAGTAGTAGTAGTAGCAGTAGTTAGCAGTAGTAGTAGAGTAGTAGTAGGTAGTATGCAACAAGTAGAGTAGTAGTAGTAAGAAGTAGTAGGTAGTAGGTAAAAGTAGTAGTTCAGTAACAGTAGCAGCAGTAGTAGTAGTAGTAGTAGTAGTAGTAGTAGTAAGTAGCAGTGTAGCAGTTCAGTGTAGTAGCAGCAGTAGTACGCAGTAGTAGAGTAGCGTAGTAGTAGTAGTAGAAGTAGGCAAAGTAGTCAGAGTAGTAGTAGAGTAGTAAGTAGAGTAGTGTAGCAGCACAGTAGTAGTAGTAAAGTAGTAGTAGACAGTAGTAGCATTGTAACAGTAGTAGTCAGTAGCCGCAGTAGAGTCAGTAGTGCAGTCAGTAGTAGTAGTAGTAGGTAAAAGTAGTAGTAGTAGTAGTAGTAGTAGAAGTAGTGTAGTAGTAGTAGCAGTAGCAGTAGGTAGTAGTAAGGTAAGGTAGTAGTTAGTAGTAGTAGTAGCAGAGTAGTAGTCTGTAGTTAGTAGTAGTAGTAGTAGTAACAGCAGTAGTGCGGTAGTAGTAGTAGTAGTAGTAGTAGTAGGTAAGTAGTAGTAGTAAGTAGTGGTAGTTAGTAGTAGCAGTAGTAGCAGCAGTAAGTAAGTAGTAGTATAGTAGTAGTAGTAGTAGTAGTAGTAGTAGTAGTAGTAGTAGTAGTAGTAGTAGTAGTAGTAGTAGTAGTAGTAGTAGTTAGTAGTAGTAGTAGGTAGTAGAGTAGTATAGTAGTAGTAGTAGTAGTAGTAGTAGTAAGTAGTAAAGTGAGCCTATATGAGAAATGTAATTAATCTTTATTAACGGCGATTGCAGATCCCAGTTTTGTTGTCGTCTTATCTGCAGTGTGGGTATAAAATCTGCTCATATTTATCTTGGAATTATATTATTTGTCGATGTTATGGGAATATTTGACTAAGACTCAGACTCTTGTGGAGATTAAATATTTAAGAAGTTGGATTAAATTGGGAGTAACATCAAGTGCTGTACAGTCACTGAATAAACTTCAAATGTCTGAGATGAGTTTTACACAGATCCTGGAGCCATCTGCATAAACACTGTATTAATGTCATCACAGAGAAAGTTTGGCTGTGGACTCTGAAAGCGGCAATCAGGTGTGACGGCCACAGCACTTTTTAATTCCTCAAGAAATGAATAATTCAGGCAATCAGCAGCACACATGTAAAACACATGAAGCCACTGGCCTGTTTCCATCCCCACTGTGATCACACTGGGACTTTGGTATAAACTCATATTACTTTTTTTTTTTTTTTTTTTTTTGTAAGACGGGAGGGGATGTTATGTTTTTCTTTGTTAAGAGAAGGATTCTAAATTTAAAAACGCATAATTGACTCCTGTGAGCTTTGAGTCATCGCACGTTGCTATTGCCTCATCAAAAACATACCTAGAGTTGTGCTTTTTTTTTTTGTTTTGTTTTTTGTTTTTTTTCCTTCACACATCTACATTTTCAAAGCTCAAAATGTTCTGTTCCATCTTGTGATCTCACGAAGCAGGAGTTTTCAAGTTAGCAGCAACATTTTATCTTAAGTTCAGCAGAGATCGGCAATTCCAGGCCTTAACTCATCCAAATAAATCTTGTGAAGGTGAATGGAGTTTGAAAACACAGTGGAGCACTTCTTGTATTACTGCAAGACATCACAAGGTGGAAGACAGAACAGAGAAGAACTAAACTAAACTAAAAAGCCTAAATCTGCAGGGTTTGTGTGTTAAACATGTGTGAATGAAACAAAACACAACTCCAAGTATGTTTTTTTAATGAAGAAACATTATAACATAGATCAGAAAATAGCATATTACTTACTTTAAACTTAATCTGACTGAAAACAAATTGCATTGCTTTGCTTGGAATGTTCCGCAATATATAATTAATTTCATTATGGTTATTTTTACTGCTCAAAATTCTTTCATTCTTGCTGAGTGGAGTCTCCATAGATCTGACTGGGAGCTTGGCCTGGTTGTGTGACCTGTTGTTTCCATGGCGATAGATAGGTGAGTGTTTCAAGCAAAACATTGACTTCCAATACTAATACTAACAACATACATTTTATTTGTGGATAATTTGTCTATAAAATAATCCACTTTGTCTTGTATCTCGGGGTCTTGTTCCCGGTTAAGGGGAGGATTTAGCGTGAGACTGACAGGCAGATTGGTGCAGCGTCTGCAGTCATGCAGTCGTTATATCGGGGGGAGCTGAGCTGGAAGGCAAAGCTCTTGATTGGTCGATTTATGTTCCTCCCCTCACCTATGGTCATGAACTCTGGGTAATGACCGAAAGGACAAGATCGCGGATACAAGCTGCCCGAAATGAGTTTCCTCCGCAGGGTGGTTTGGCGCTCCCTTAGAGGTAGGGTGAGGGACTCAATCACATGGGAGGAGCTCGGAGTAGAGCCGCTGTTCCTCCACGTTGAGAGGAGCAGCTGAGGTGGTTCAGGCATCTGCTCCGGTTGTCTCCTGGACGCCTCCCTCGGAAGGTGTTCTGTGTATGTCCCACTGGGAGGAGGCCCCGGGGAAGACCCAGGACATGCTAGAGGGACTATGTCTCTCAGCTGGCCTGGATCCCCCTGGAAGAGCTGGAGGAAGTGTGTGTGTGTGTGTGTGTGTGTGTGTGTGTGTGTGTGTGTGTGTGTGTGTGTGTGTGTGTGTGTGTGTGTGTGTGTGTGTGTGTGTGTGTGTGTGTGTGGAGAGGGAAGTCTGGGAGTCCCTGCTCAGCCTGCTGCCTCAGCTGCCAGGCCCCTGCATAAAGCAGAAGAAAATAGATGAATAATCCACTGTTTCCATAGTCAATACCACAGACTGTATAAAGAAGTGGACTAAGTCAGGGTGACGTCACCATAGTGCACAGCTGCAGTCAAATGAGGCTCAGCGAGGCCTGTAGTTATAGGAGCAAAGGTCCACATTAGGAATAGAAATTTATTCACAGGACAGAAATAGTGAAACAAAAACCCCAGAATCATGTAGAGCAAAACCAAAATGTCCTGGCTCACTGCAGCAATTACAGAAAGAGGAGTGATAATTTTCCAATGTAAAGTCAATGGGAAATAGAGTCGATGGAGCCGGAAGCGCCCCCATGCTCACATCCTATTTGAAATG